CACGAAGTGGTCGACCGATCGAGGTCGATTGAAATGCTCGACCGTTCATCTGGTCGAGTTATATATTGGTCGACTGTTTAGCTGGTCGACAGATTAACTGCTCGATTTCTTCGACTTCCCCACGGTATGACCTCCTCGACCGGTCAGCAGATCGGTTTACCCTTGTGGGTATAATATCCTATATCACTATGTTATGATAAACAATAAAGTGATAATTATGGCGGTTGTACACTCTCGATTCGCATACTTCCTTCCATGTACTACTAAATTAACATTTTAACACATCAAGTTTCATAATTATATATGAATATAATAATGTCCAATTAATTGTCTTAAAGAAATTTATTTCTTGTTCTAAACATAAAGTGTAATATCCCGAGATATTATTAGTATAAATTACGTTTAATTCCGATATAGTAACGTTATCGTTTATTATTTTCAGAATTAATTGAGTTCAGTCGGATTACCGAAATCGATTTTCGGCATACCGTTTACGTCCGAAATAATTTTGGTAATTAAGTAGAATGTTTAATTTAACAATTAAACATCAATTGAGTGATTAATTGGCATTAATCACACTTGAGCCCTAATCTTACCCTAAGTAGCCGTAAGTTAAGTTAAAATTTTTCCAATTTTAGTACCCAAAACCGTAGCAATTTCTTAAGTGGGAGGAAAGGAAATTATCCAATCATTTTGAGCAATTTGTCCATCAAAGAATAAGCTTAGTCATACTAAAGCTCATAAGATTTGGACAAGTGCTAAGGGCTAGAAGAAGCCACGCCATAGAGGCGTCACCATCTCCCACCCCACGGCCGTGTATAAAAGGGTGCCTTAGGATCAATTTTTCCGCCATTTTTCCCTATAAGTTTGAGCAGCAACCTTCAGCACCTTATACTCCCCTTAATCAGCAAGTAAATTCAGTAAAATTCTCCCAAAAACTTTAGCAGACGCTCGGCCAAATCAAACCAATCGCACGGCATAGGCTAGTACCGCACGGCGAGGAGAAGCGGCGATTTAAATCCAATTTCCGTCGAACGTTTCGAAAGGTAGTACTATGTTCAGTTCATAATCTTAGTAATAGGTTCGGTTCAGAGTGAATTGCTTAGATTTTATTTGAGAATTTCACTTTAAACCGCACCAAAGTCCATGTATGCTTAAGTATAGTAATCGCCGAACAAGTGTTATTTTCTTCCGGCAAGTCATAGGTTATCATGTTCCTTTCAGCATATATTTAAGGTAATAAGATCAGTTAAGTGTACTTGGTCGATGGAAAATCAATGATTGCCGGTGAATTGGCCAAAACCGTAGCTTGTGCCGATCGCACGCGGTTATAGACGGCCATGAGGCATGAGTTCGTAAACTGAGCATGAACTATGAGCATTTAGTGTTTATTTAGCCTTAATTCAGTTAATCATGTTCAGTTATTTGAGAGTTGTCGAGGAAAAAGTGGAGTTTTGCCGATGAAAGGCCCCGGCCGGCACCCCCGCGCCTATCGTGCGTAGCCTCGGGTCGCCGTGGGCCGAGG